GATCAAACGCCTCTGCTGGCTCCTGCCTGGCTTTCCCCAGCAGACGTGTGGGTTCACATCAAACGCCTCTAGCTGCTGGGCTGGTGACTTCCCCAGCAGGCTACTGGGATCCGCTCAAAACTCCGCTACGGCTCGTCTCATCTGAGCTGCTGCTGCTGCTGCTGCTGCTGCTGCTGCTGCTGCAGGTTAGATCTCTTTACACTCAGCCTTTGCACCTCTTCTCTTAAAGGGGGTCTTGCTCCAGTCCTCTCCACAGCTTCCCCCCCACCACACACTTCCTTCCTTCCTTCCTTCCTCTCCTGCTTTCCCCTCTCGCTTGCCCCTTTCTGGAGGGGGGAGGTCGCGCTAGGTGCCGAGAGCGGGAGGGGCCGGGTGTTATAGGGACTCACTTGCCACTTTGAAAGTCCTTTTTTAAAGACTGCCTGATAGATTACTTTTCAGTTAAAGATATACCAGGAGGCGGGGCCACGTGACCGTGACGTCAGGCGCCCCACGGTGAAGCCATGCAAAACTCAAGTTGTTTCATGGGATTGTCAACAAAGAGACAACAGTGGCTCCGCTCCTCGTGCTCCTATACAAGCATCACCGCAGCCCGCAGCCTCCCTCCACGTAGCTAGGGACTCCCAACTAGGCGACAGCACCGTGCAACTCCTAGCCTGCCTGTAGCTCAGAGCACGGGGTAGGCGCATTTCAGTTGATCGAGATCAGGACCGGAGCTTGTCTTTTATGATGCTGCTGGGTTTTTTCCGACGCTGGTAGAGCCGGGATTAAATGCATGAGCACAAGAGAAAGCCACCGTCCTGCGTTTAGTATTTACAAAAAAAACAAAACAGCAACTTAGTGCTCTGGGTGGGTATTTTTTAGGTAGGTGCCAACCTCCCGCTCCCTGCCCGTGGTGAGGAGCAGGCTCTGCCCGGAGCCAGGCACTTGCCAGCAGGCACCGGCGCCTCTGACCCTACACACATTAAACGGATGCGTCGGGATATTAATGCTTAGAAACAGCAGCAGCAGCAACTTTGGGCTAGGAGATCACTTTCCTGTGCTTTTGCAACAGCAGCCTCAGCTGGAACCCGAAGATCAGAAAATGGCTATTGATTAATCTATTAGATTAGTTGCAGGGAGAAATAAAAAAGACGTAAAATAACAAAGGGCAACTATAAATAAAGGAGCCTTTAGCTGGTGTGGCTTTTTTTTTTTTGTGCAGAGGTGTTAACGACTTAATCATGGCGAGTGTTAGCATATGAAAAAGTAGGAAATGAGGGAGTGTGCGCACGGGAAGACCCTATTCACCCGAGCCCAAGGTAAGCCTGGTCCTGAGGACAGGGGGCTCCACGGAGGGAGGGGGCGGGGAGAAGCTGGTTGCAAATTCTCTTTCCTTTGGTGTCCGTTTAAACGAGAACAATACCGTCAGGGCAGGTCGGAAGCTGTTTCCTCCGTGGGTTTTTAATCCCTGTGTGCTATCAGAAAAACCGCGTGTTTTTGGATTAAAAAATCCCCAACAAAATCTAAAAAAAATGCCAAAGGGTAAAATCGTTTCCCGAAAAGCGATTCTTGTTGGGTTTAAAAAAAAAAAAGTAGCAGCAGCAAATCGCATCTGCCTTGTCTCCCCCTGGAAATCAACCTGCATCAGGGCTGGGGCGGCCGGAGGATCCGAGCGGGTTTCCAGCGCAATCTCTCCTGCCTTCAAAAATAAAAACAAAACAGCCCTGCACATAAGGTATCAATAACTCTCCCCACTTTTCTGGGAACAGTTAGGGAGGGGAAGTGCCGGTGGGGTCCCGGTGCCCTGGGAAGGTCCCTGCGGCTCGAGCAAACGAGCGGTGAGAAGCCGGGCGGCTTCGCCACCGCAGCCCGCGCCCGCCCGGGCGGCAGAGACATGTCGCTGAGCGCAGGTTTGGGGAGCGCTTTGAACCGGACGGTGGGGAAGGGATGCACTGATTTACCCCGGCACAGGAGCAGAGTCCAGCTCGCTCCCATTCCCGCTGCCCGTGGACAGGACGGGCTCAGAGCAGCCGTGCTGGCTGCCGGGGCAGCTCCGGCGCTCGCGGCTTGGGCACGAGGAGGAAAAGCGAAGTCGCCGGTGTGAGGACGCGCCGCCAGGAAGGTTAGACAGGGCTTCGTCCAAATCAAGCCCGGCACGAGAGCGGAAGGGGCTCTCACAAGCCGGGATACGATGCTCTGCAAAGGCATCATCATTTCGGTGATTCCCTATAACGACCCCAGCTCCCCCCACCCCACATTATTGCTGGAGGTCGAAGGGGGGCAGAGTTATTTTTTCCCCTTTGCCGAAAGCACGTGGGGACGCTTCTAGCCGCCTCGGGGCTGTCTGCGTGCACCAGAAATCAGCTCGGAGAGATTTTAGGAAAGAAACAACCCCCCAGCCCAGCCCAGCCCGCCCTGCCCCGTCTCTTTTAACCATCTCGGCTCTTGTGTCCCCTGGCTTGCCCCAGGAGCGGGCGTGTGTATCGGGGCGGCATTGCCCGCTGTCTCGTGTCTTCTTTGCGCTTCCTCCAAACGATCCTCATTTATATGTTGCCATCTGGCCGGCGCGGCTCGTCTCCGGGTGCCGCTGGAGCCGGGAGCTGGAGCCGCTCTGCCACCGGCGCGGACACACGCACACGGATCCTGTTTATCCGAGAGCCTCTCTCAAACCTCTCAGGGGAAAGGGAGGGGGCAGAAGGGGGGAGATCAACTCCGCAAACCCACCGTTTCATTTGTTGCGCTTTTCTTCGACACAATAAAAGTCAAATTAATTGATTCATACCATTAATTACGGCGCTTAGCGTGAAAAGCAGCGTTTCCCCTCGATTAGAGATCTATTGTGCTAATCTCTTGTTCAATCAGTGTTACCATCTGAGAGGGGGCCCGGCCCGGCTCTGGGCAGAAACTTTTCGCCTTCATTTGTGGATACGAGGCTGCAATCTCTCCTTGCCTTTAAAGAAAAAAAAAGGGGCTTCCGATTCAGCCCTGCTCCGCTTTCGTCCGCGCTTTGCTGAGCCCCTCTTTGAAAACCGGGCGAGATCGGGCTGGGGGCCCAGAGATAGAGGGGGGTCTTGACACGGTTTGAGGTCGGCCCAGTACTGGGGCAGGGGTTATTGCTGCACGACGGTGCTTGGTTGTTGTCGGGCAATTTCAATGCAACCCCCCCGCGTTGCCAGAAATCCCCGACGGGGCGCACAGCCCCAAGGTGGCGAAGGGCAGCGTGCCCCTGCCCTCCCGGCTGCCAGTGAAGGAAACTCCCGTGCCACTTTGCTACAAGAGCCCACCCGGCTCCTGCCACCCCAGCACTGAGCTCGGCCAGGACCGGGGGGCAGGGGCCCGTTTATAATCATGGAGAAACTTTCCCGGGGGTCGTGTGAGGAGGATGGGGCGCAGACGCTTCTTCTGCTCAAGTTTCAAGGCTCAGCGTCGAGCAAGGTCCGAGGTTTGGCAGCAGAAGAGCTGCCCAACACTTAGGGCAGCGTGTGCGGGAGGTGGTGGGAAGCAACAACTGCCCCAGCAGCGCGACTTGAGGGCCGGGGGTGGCGGGGGCAAGGAGGGGGAGGGAAGGAGAGGAAGGTGCAGCAACAGGAGGAAAGAGAGCTGCAGAGCTCAGATCGATATGGAGTCAAATAGAGACATATGTGGCATCAAGGAAAGAGAAGATGGAACAACTTATGATAGGGAGGGAGAAATTAATTACAGCTCAGTTTGACTCCAGAAGGGCAAAACCGGGTCCCGGCAGAGAAAGCGAGTTCAAAGCAGATCAGGAGGCTGAGGCTGAGCCTGGGGCTGGGCACCGGCGTGGGGGTGGGGGCAGGAATCCGAGATGCCCCTTTCCTTCTCTTTAAGCCTATGACTTCTCCTAATGAGTTACATAAATCGTTGACCCGACCTGGGTGACTCCAGCGGTGCGGTTCTGGCTGCACGTATGGGGACGAGGAGCAATAAAAAAAAAAAAACCTTACAAAAAAAGCCCCCAACCCAAACCAGCCCAGAGCCCGGCTGCGCCCCCGCTCCTTGCCCCGGCGCCCGCTGTGTCTCTCTCGGACGGACTGGGAAACACCGTTTCCACCGGAGGCCGCGGGCGTGGGGCGTGAGGGGGAGCGGGGAAGGGCTGAGGACGTGTCGGAGAGCCCCGGGGATCAGGGCCATGCCCCGGCCCCGGCGCCCGCCTCGCTCGGGCTTGCCAGGGGCGAAAACGAGCCGCGGGGCCGGCGCTGAAACCCTCGCCCATAAATCTGCATCGCGTCTTTTTTAAGCCGCGGATGTGCACGTTTCTTTGATTTTTAAATCGTAACACATCGCCCATAAAACCCGGAGACCACAGTGTAAAACCAAATTGGTCGTGTTTCCAAAACGGTTCCGGATTTATTTGTATTGGGAATGTATAAACATCCATTCTGTAAAAGGCAACACGTTTAATTAACGATGAGAGAGCAGTTAGGGGCAGAAAGCTAGTAAAATTGTGTGATAAATTTATGGCATTGTTAGCGTGCTTTTAATTATGGCTATTATGTTAATTATTTCACATTAGCATGGAGTTATCAGCGGCGTGTCAGATTTAATCAAAACGAGCCTTTCTCTCGAAAATTGTTCTTTTCAGCCACCATGAGGAGGGGGGGGGGGGGGTCCTGAGCCGGAGCTGCCTTTTTAGCAAAAGCGGGGGGG